TTAAAATTTGTAAATTAGCTTGACTAATTAATAAAGTTTTAAATAAAGATGGAGGAAGATGACCGACTAACTTTCCTGGATGTCGATGTCTGACTGAGTGTCAATGATTTTGATCATAGACGTGGTCCGTGAAGTAAAGGATTGACCACCAGAATAACTCAGTGCTTATGCCGAACGGTGATAAGGAAATCCTCAGCATCACGTTAGTTCTCCATTTAACTTGTGAATCCAGTATTTGGAGGGCTGCTGCGGTATAATTTTTATTAAAGACTTAAGACAAAGTATGGGAAGTAAGGCCTCGAATAGCAGTGATCGAGTGAAATCATTAAACTAGGGAGACAAGCGACGTATACTAAATGGCAAGAGAGAGGCTATGATAGAACCTGGATGAAGAGGATTTCGGACTAAAATGGCAGACTTTGATCAGCACTTCCAGCCCCAGCATAAAGTGTGAATAGGTCTCACTAAATCTGCTCAGGAGGGCACACATGAATTTGGCTTAAATTAGCAAGTAAGAAATTTGGAAAGTGAATGAGTTGATACGAAGTTATAGGAAAGCTAAATGCGCTAGGACAGAAGAAGAGATACCACAACCATTGTTGAGGCAATGGTTCAAAGGATCGACTTCACTTGTCGCCTTGATGACTTGTAATGTGAGGCTAAGAATGACGAGGCTTACTGAAGATGTCGGAGGAACATCTGGGAATGTACCAAGTCCATGCTGTAAATATGAAAATTATCATACACACTATCGTTTCCGAGCTAATTTGTAAAGGCAAGCTCGAACAACTTCTAAGCTCTTACCGCAGTTTTTAAAAATATCTTGAATTTTGAATAAGAACCTGATTCATCCTAGGTCGCTTAAGGCGATGAAGAGATCGCGAATTTTCAAAAAATGCTATGGCTGAGCATGACGATAACAGTGAAGCTCCTCTAACCTTCCTACCAAAAAGATATTCTTATTTAGGCTTGACAGCTGTTTCGACATCGTCTGTGTCTCCTCGGCATCTTCAGGGGAAGGATTACATATTTTGGATGAGAAATCCTTTCGGAATACAAGTCTAATTGATATTCGTTGGTATCGTGAGACCTACTCACATCACTGTGGAAAAATTAATTTATATCATTTTAGGTGATATATTTAAGAGATATAATTAACTTACCGCATTATGTTAACCGAACGCCATGGTGACTAATGTCAACTGAAAGTCGTGCATGATCTAATGAGGCTCAGTCCAGTGATAAGCAACTGGCCTTAAAGGTCATAAGGCTCAATGCCAGGGTTCTAAACTAATTGAAACCATTGCCACAAAAGTTTTGCTATATATTTCGGAATGAACAATTTTTGTCTTAGGTAGGTAAAAAATAATATGTTAAATGTCATTAAGAAGGTGAACTCATATTCATTCTATAACAAAAATATGATAAAAAATTTTATTTTCGTTTATATGATATTCAAGATATTTGATAATAAGCGTTTACCTGTGTCGCAAGCCTCTCCAGTGTACCCTGGACAGCAAGCGGGTTCTTCAGAAAAACTGTCTCTGCATCAAAAAGAAAGAGTTTGGATATCTTTAAAATGAATATTTTTCTACTATTACCACCACGATTACTATGCGTGAATCGACGCTTAACTTTTTTGAGTACATTCCTAAGGGCCTACTTACAAAACTTAACATCCAAAATTTTGAACGAAATGAAAGCCTAATGACGAATCTATTCAGAAATTCTTTGAATCTTAACTTTTGCTTACATCTAATAAAAGTTTCCTTCAACTAAATTCAATGTATATTCTGCCTCCTATATTTTTCCGCATTTATAAGTAAATTTAACCACCCATTTGTATAACTTCCTACTCGAGCAAAAACATTTTTTAGTTTCCTGTTAAGAATGCTATCACTCTATGGCAATTTCTTTTGCCTGGTGAAAAAAAAATAGATACAAAACGAGCTTGATGGATGGGAGGGGCAGGAGACTAACTACTCTTAAAAACCAGCTATTCACTATCGACTAAGGAGGCCCAGGTTTCATCTTCATTATATCCTATTGATGCTAGTCTGAAACACCTTTCAACAGTTTTTTTAATAAAAATTCCACGGAATGTTCTTTTTTGCTATCTTAATGTCCAGAATAACAATTAAAAAGTGGTTCTGAAAAAGAATCATACTTTCAGAAGGTTTGAAATATGAAATTAAGCTTGCACACAAAGTGTAAATGATATTCGATGAAAGTCTGGCTGTAAGTTGAGTTGTATTAATGTGGTTATCCTTATGATGATATGACCTTTTGCCCTATCCGCCTAAGGTTGGTCAAGAAAAAAATACTTTTTAAGGTTGCTGAGTTGGTAGATACTCCGAAAGGACGTACCCTTCCTCTAGAGTCCATGAACAAACAATTGTATTGAGATATCAGAACTACCAACATAACTTTTTACGGACATGCATTTATGCTTTTAAAATCATGCTCACCATTATATGTAAGAAAAATCGCGGACTATTGTGAGATATTAGCTTTAAATATCACTTTTCTTGAACTGTGTATACACTCCATATAAATATTACTGAATACGCTATTTAATACGTGTGAAGGTGATAAAGAAAATCAATAAGCTGCCATTAGTTTAGCTGTGTTTATTCTTGTAGGGACTTTCATTTCGTATGAAAGCGCATAAAGAAGAGATTCCTGGGTCGATCTCACCAGAAGAGGATTAATCCCGTTGTACTGCAACAGTTTGGCTTTTAAACGACGTTCAGATTGACGCAGTCCACGGGATTTCGTCCCTCGTTTCGGGCTAAAACGTGCTGAGCTTTAGTTCATTAAATGATGGACATCAAAGCAGTCATTCTTGCAAGAGTCTCACGTTGACACTAAAGCAAGAACACTATCCTGCTCTATCTTACTTTTTATATATACTCAATTAAGCCAAAAGAAAATTAAAAACCTGGATAGCTATAGAGTGGTTTAGCTAATTATTTTTGATATTGGTCCTGCTACTTTTGCTCGAGTGTGTGCGTGTGTGTATGTGTATGTATTAGCATCTATACGCGATACCGCTCCTAAATCACAGGTATCACTAGGCTAATCTAAGGCTCTGATTATCAAGGCTTAAAGACCCAAGAGAGCGTCGTATAAAAGCCAAACGGCTGCAATACAACGGAATTCATCCGGCTTCTTTTGGTGAGATCGACCTATGAATCTTTTCCTCATGCACTTTTATATGAAACTAAAGTCCCCCAACAATGTTATCTTAAGAGATTCATCGAAACCCAGTTTATCTTTGCATCAACAATGTGTTTATTCTATCTTAAAATATGCCAACTCAATGACAGAGACAATTTTAACTTTTCGTTTAAGCTGAATGAAATAGAAGAATACAAAAAAATATATGATCACCGTCTGATAAAACAATATAGTTTTATTAAATATGGCAACCGAAAGACATTGAAGCAAGACATGACTGACTTGAAAAAGGTGCATGTGGCGTTGTCATCTCTACTGACAGTGTACTGAGCCAGCGACTCGCGTCTGGCCTTTTCTGGACGCATCACGCCCGAGGCCACTTGGGCAACCAGACCTTGGATCAGCGGCACCGTGTCCAAGTCCACTTGCCAGCCCTCTAATGAGAGCCGGATCAGCCTCCAGCAAGCCTGTGTCTGGCTGATGCGATCACGGAAGGACAACAGGCAATCGTGAGGTCCGGCATCAGTCCTGAAAAGGGGTTTTAATTATGTGGATCAGGGATGGAGGTAATCGAAAGCTTTGAGAATAGATCCTTCTCTGTCAGGCAAAAATGTCAGAAAAGTTTGATTTTAGTTGAGATAATATGTTGATGAGTCGCTCCGCTTCATCATAAACTAGAATAACAGGGTCACTTGATCTTTTCAAATAATGCTGAGGAATTTAGCTTAATGATAGATTGTCCTCTCGTGACTGGTACGTATAACGTCGACATAAAGCCTGAATTTGAATGAAAACTTTATAAAAATTTTCTATTTAACTTGACCATGTTCCATAATGATG